CTTATAATAGTGAACTACTGAATTATATTTAACGTCGCAGTTTATTCGACCTTAAATCTCATTGTCTTTTATTTCCAACACAGATGGATACTGAAAAACTGATAGGTATTGTATTGTGTCCTCAACAGTACCACTTAAGTATACTAAGTGTTAGTTGCAAAGATTTCACACAGGAAACTCGTGAAAAAAAAGTTCATGCAGTTCACGAATAAAAAGAAAATATGATTTAAAGAAGAAACTCTTTTCAGCGATTTCAGTGAAACGACAATCACAATAATAGTAGATATCCTTCATGAAAGTGAATAAACCAACTGAACAGTTTGAGTTATTTTATCTGTTAACATCTGAAAGGTCAGCGACCAGAACTATGCATCTTAGTTTCTACTGTTCCTTGGTGTTTCCATGAAAACTGATTATGCTGATGAAGTACATACTTCAGAAGTATTTATAAATACGATACAACTTAGTTTGTGCTTTTACGATTAACTTTGGGAGTTGCCTTAATTATTAGAATTTATCGGAGGATTTAATCATGAGTTGACATCACTTAGAGAACCATCGGAAGACCAACTGTAAGTACTGGACAGATGTTTCGCCCTAGTTCGAGACTCTTCACCAGTGCGCACCAGCCGCGAGGGTTCGAACCCAGGACCTTCTGGCTACAAGGCTAGTGGGCTCGTAGACTATCAAGCCACTGAGACCCGATCCATTGACTGACCCATTAATTCTAACTTCTGACAATTCACGACAGTTTTTACCAGTGAATGTTCTAGTCTTTTTCACTGTTCATAACTACTTCTAGGGTTATTTCAACTGCTTCGAAGATCTGAAAGTAAGAATTCACACCGATCAATCCGAGTTTATGAATTACGTTTTGATGTTTCAAGTGGCATAGTTTCGTGGTTTAAGTCTGCTTAGAATTGCATCGTTGAAAAAGTCTTCAGCTGATTAGATGCGACAATAACTATACCTACAAAAACGAATTAAGTTAGTTCTGCAGAACGATAATTTAAAGAAATTATTCAAATTCACCTTTTCTTTATTTTTAACTTAATATTAAATTATATGCTTTATGTAGGTAATGCTACTTGTAACGGAATAACTGTTTAAAAAATCCCTCCCAAACGACCAATTTATAATATTGATACTAATTTGAATATTTCAGCTAACTGTGTAATTACTTTCCTCTTTTCTCCCTTAGACTGTATATCATTGTTCTACCGTTTGCATATCGCCCATAAACTCAGCCCTTATTATTTATCATTGTTCTAATGTAATCCCTAATTTAAATGCTTCTCGTTCCACCTGTGTGACGGTACTGAGATTTTGTTTGAGTGAATTTAAAATTTATTTGTCCGTGGACTGTCCGCAGGAAGTCTTTGGCACTTGATTCTTATCGACAGGGTTTTGATCCCACCGCGTTGGAAATATTTTATTCAGTTTGGAGGTACTTCTTACCGTTGATTATTGGTTAAATAATTTTGTTGTATGTAACTTGTTCTGTACTCAAGGAGCAATTGGATCTGTATGGTTGCCTAACGGCACTGTTGAGGTAATTTCACGTTTTGATATGTTATTCTTGTTGAATAGTACCACAGATTTGATTGCAAGCTACCATCTTTAGGCTGTCGTCGGAACATTTTAGGACTGTGGGTAACTCAGGATGTTTTGTCTAACTATACAGTAGAACACAGTGACTGGTTTCCTGCACTCGAACCAAAACACGTTGGTTTCTGTAGCTACATTACCTACTAAACTCTACTGGTAAATTATGCCGTATCTTTGAGTACTATATTAAAATCACGGATATAACACGTACGATTATAAATTAAGTACATTAGGGTAATATAATCCGTTCCTATTTTTAGGAACATAATAATAGCGATGCAAATAATATTTATTAAACAAAGATGACTTGAATGCTCTTATGAAAAGTAAAGTATGTTCTAAGAACTATCTAGTAAAAGAAAACCAGTTCATTACCTGCTATACTTATAAAGCGAATTAACAACTGACCCATAGAAGGCCTGTTTACCCTATTATCTTATACTATCAGTCTAAATTAATTCAGACATATTATTATGCAATATAACCATTATTTTACGAATCAGAATGAGCTCTGACATGAATTTTACATGAGGTTTCTCAGTGACGTTTGAAATTTGAGCTCAGAAATATTTTATTAGGATTAAATACAAAAACAGGAACCCTTCGATTAGTGTATAAGTGATTCGGTATTAACATGAGATCAGTGTTTACCCCTTAATTGTCTATTCAAGTGAGTGTCCTGGTCGAAATTTGCATTGAAATCAGTTTCATCCTAAAGATGACCAATTTAAATTATGTTCTCAATCAATTAAAAATTCGTGAGCATAGTGACTTTATGACAGGTTGGTATGATAATTCAATCATGCTTCCATCCAGTTGTTTTACCCTGTGGTGTTTGAGCTTCTGAATGAAGTAAAGGGCTGTAAGAGTTAACCTTTAAATTTTACAGGCTAGGAATGCTGGCTCCACGTCCAACCTTGTTTTTTTTTACACATTACTATTAGCTATTAAGCCAGTTCAGGTTTGAGAATATGTTGGTCGAGAATCGAACTACACACCACGTGATTGGCTGGCGAGCATTTGATCATTTAACCACCGACGCAAAAGGAAAATATTTGTCAACACTATTATCATTCATCGAATTAACATTTCACAGTGAAAGCGAGTTAAACTACCCACAATTGCAAGAGTAAATTGTTTTAAAGCCCAGGAGTTTAATACAACTTCATGCGTAATGAAGTAATAAAATCATATAGTTTTAAAGATTAACAATGCAACTTGACTGCATACATCGAGTAGGTGACGGGAAATTAACACCTACACCGAAACTCATTAATTAAAACATCTACGGCGGCAACCAAGGTGCTATAACTGAATAAGTTTTAAAGGTACAATAACTAAGACACGAAGTAATTAGTTTGCACCTTATATATATTGCTTTTTACGAGTTGATCACGGATTGATATCAGTTAGAGAACCATTAAAAACCAGGGAATACTGGACAGCTGCTGTTTCATCCTAGCTTGGGAATCAAAAGAGTAGTACGCACCCACTGGGGTTCGAACCCAGAACCCTCCGGTTACAACACAGGCTCGTATACATTCAGCCACTGGGACCCGATTCCATGGCTAGTCCGTGAATTTCAACTTCTACCAACTTGTGATTTAGCGAGACCCCAACCATTGTCGTTGGTGGGACATCCATCCACATACGTGACATCTAATTGGACCTCACTGGTCATGACTTGTCACTAGAACTCCAAGAAACTCCATCCTGTAGCAAGTCACCAGCAACCATCAGATTAATTTTCTATAGTTTGGTATGTAAGGGTTAGTTTGGTCTTTACGAGTAGAAACCAAACTAACCCTTACATACCAAACTATAGAAAATATATTTCTTTGCTTAGATTTAATAATGGGATTTGCTTATACGTAATTAGTAAGAAGGCAATATTAAGTTGTATTCCATTATTAATCTGTTTTCCAGCATTCATTGAAACTGATGTCTTTGAGCATTAATAAGATTTTACTGAAGACTATTCTCTATCTCAAAACTATTTCTTTGATCTATCATCAAAGTTGAATAATTGAAAAGGCGGAATGAAATATAAAATACGCATGTATTTATATTATGATGTAAAAAATAAAGTTAAATAACCACAAAATTCTGGAAGACTTGGACTAGATTAGTTACTAAAATAATGATCTCCAGAATATTTCCTTCTATAACAAATATAAATAAACTTCTTAATGTATATATGTTTGATTGAACAAAATTACTAACATTTACTCGCCTTCTTCAGTTTTTGATGATAAGCAACATAAAAGCAAGTGTTGATTATTACTTTGAACCGCTAGTTAGAAGGCTTGTTGTTATTTTAATTACTTCGTATTTACCCATTAAAGCAAAAATGAATTCCCAACACAGAGTGTATCCAATTTCGATAGGTTATTTCTCATCTTATGGGATTTGCTTATACGTAATTAGTAAGAAGGCAATATTAAGTTATATTCCATTATTAATCTGTTTTCCAGCATTCATTGAAACTGATGTCTTTGAGCATTAATAAGATTTTACTGAAGATGTTGTCAAGGTTTATGGATATACTACTACTGAGTGGATAAATTGGATTTCACTAGATCGTCTGTTCTTCACTGACATCTGAAAACTTGTGTTTAGAATTTGAATAATCATCATTATCATAATATGGAGTATTTGCATTTTCTGTATCCGACTCAATAGTCATTGTTGTATCAGATATTATTTGGTTGTCAGTAAAACCTGAATTATTATTATTATTATCATTCTCAGTAATAGTATCTCTATTAGTTATAGTAGGCGTAGTGGAAGAAGGCAAAGAACAGGTAATAGTACGAATAACACTGCTGGTAGAGTGTGAGATACGTGTAGCAGTTGGTTGTTTTATTGATTTATTCATATTTCGTGGAAAAACGCTTTCACTTGATTGCCGCTGACCCCATTTAAAGTGTTTGATACACTTAAATCTTTTCTTTTTAATCGGCATAGCATCTGTTTCTTGAGGTAACTGTGAATCATGCATTTTACGCATCATTTGCGTACGACGTGATTCAGGCAGACTAGTTTGTGCAGCAATCGCTAATAAACGATTCAATGTTTTATCATCACAAGTGATCGCTTTATAGTGTTTACGATCATTTGTAAAATGAAAGAGAATTAAATCAGTTACTATTGTTGATATGCCTAACAATGCTAGACCAGAACCAAGTCGCATTGAGAATGATAGTAAATTGAATTTTCCAGCTCTTCCAGCAACACGTATTATGAACTGAACACCATTGACATGCATTAGAATACGCTTGCGATTCTTAACTGTCTCTGTATCATAGCCGAAGTATGAAGTGAGGCGCAAAGAATTTCCTTCAAGAAGTGTAGTCATCTCCTCCCCCTCATCATCATCCATAAAGTCATCTTCACTATTTAATTTATGTGTCATATAAGAGTAATCAAATGTCATCTCTGGGATGTCAGTTTTGTTTGACACTAATGACGAAGATCTGACATGATTATCCTTCTGACGATAAGTTTTATTTTTCACATTAACTCTCTGTGGTTTTTGAACACTCTCGAGTGCTAAAAATTCATACTTTGGTAAGCAGTAATCAATAGGCCAATCTAAATCACAGTGCCAATTAATCGTGATTGCTATAACTCCACCATATTTCAACATGCCATTTTCACTAACTCCAGCAAATTTAAATATATCACCTATACGGAACTTGGGACAAAACTGATAAATTGTATGTTCTGGATTATACAAACAATCGTTCAGATAACTTTTTGTCATCCATGGTAAAATGTTACGTCGTTTCGTTTTGAAAGCAGGAAATTCTATATTATTCTTGATAAGAACTGTGAAATTAACAACTTCGAAAAATGGATCATCAGAGTATGGTGTACGACCGTTAATTCGATTTTTAGCATCTAGAAATTCTAAATCTGTAAAATAACCATAATATTCTTCTAAAATGTTTATTGGTTGAGTTAGAATTCTCTTTACATTACGTTCTTTGCGTAGCTCGTGCTCATAGTCATCTTCAGTTGGACACCAACCAAATATTTCACATTTCCCACGATCTTTTAAACATTTCCCTGTAAATACTCCGTGTGCACTTTCATCTGACGCAACGAAAATCTTTTCCTCATTAATACGATCTGAATCATAAATTTGATGATCAGCTTGATAACCTTCTGGACATTGATAGTCTTCTAAGCACTTTGCATCATGTAGGTGATCACCTTTGCTACATGTTGTCATATTTTGTACAACAGAGTGTTTAATTCTTGTTATCAAGTAAAAAGCAGCATTCGGTGATGGTTGTACTTGATAGTCTGCACTATCCAGTACAATTATGCCGTTAGTGTCATGATTTAGATGCTTAGACAGATGCTTCCAGGCTATACCTTTTACTTTAGCTGCTACACCGCTAATTGGACTATCAAATGATTGATAACCTCTGTTTAACCACATCACATAAATAATGAAATATGAAAGTATAAAAAGTTGAATTAAACGATGTATCATTGCCAGTACTGGTTGACGAATGATTACAACACGTGGCATGTCAAAAACAAATAATGACCTTAGCATATCCATGCTGAATATGAACAGGTGTTCTAATTTAACAAATTAGTACAAAACTCCTTTCACAGGTCTACACCTAATACTACTCTATCTTAAAAACAGAATAGAAAACAATTGAGTATGAAATAGAATTTCTACGAGACCTGAATCGTAGATCGTGCTTCCCCACATTTTTAAAAAAGCCTTTTACATCAATTTTAACAGTTTCATGTGCTTTTTTTGTTGAACTCAACTGTTCACTTGTTCAATCAGTGTACTAAATGTTTAAAAATAACAACGATAAAATGTAAAGACTTCATTTCACCGTCTTACTTTCAATTTTGTATCCCATTAGATATTGACAAGGTTTGTCATATTGAAACAAATAGTTGTTACCCGGTGTTTACATCACACCACTGTAGCAAATCCAAAATCTCTTCCATATTGTATAGCAAAGCGCAGTAATACATATCAAATCATTAGAGTTATCATAAAAGACAGAATGAAAATAAAATGTAGTAATTAGGGGACATAGATGAAATGCTTGGTAATTCCATTCTGTTATGTTTACAATCAAATACCATTAAGGCCTTCTTGAAAATATTCTTTGTGTTGAAAAATACGTGAGATACGTTAAATGAATTACATTTGTATCAACCAGTCATGTTACATTCAAAAGTGTACATCAGTTTAGTGTCATTAAGAGTTAATTATTTATAAATATATATACGCTTATCTGTACAAAAATAATGGGGCAGGATATGTATATATATAGAGAGAGGTATTATGTAGGCATGTCTTTTCTCCAATGAACAATGAATTGGCTGTGAATGTCATTTGAAAATATCACAGACTCCTTTTATTATAAATCAAAGACAAAACTTGCCAATTATAATTTTTGCCAATTTGTTAATGTAAACCGTCGAATCAAGTGCGAATGTTAAAACAGAGAGGGGGAAAGACAGATAGAAAGAACTATTCATTGGAATATATACACACTTACAATAAATATACATTTGTTAATCAGTTATCACGTGTACAAACAGTAAGATTATACATACACTTTCATACTAAATATAAAATTTTTGATAACAGTGTAAAATGAAATATTTATTTGTCAGATTTTAGTAATATATTTAGAGATGGTAAAAAAATTGACGGGAAAATAGAATTCATAGTAGATTTATTCACTAACCGAAATCATCTAGAGAACCTCCAGAAAATCAGACAGCCCTGGATGATTGTTTCATCCTAGTGGAACCATGAAATCAGATAAATCGCCGCAAATCAACACAAATAAAACTAGTTTGATAGAAATTGCTTCAGCAAACTTGAGGAGAATCAAGCTCACTTGCCTATTGATAATTATAAAGGATTTGGCAATTTACAACTCATTACCCTTATCGAGCAAATGTGTGGTAATAGCGCTATTATAGCAATGACAGTCCACTTAGCCCTGTTTTAGCAGATATCTTCATGTCAAACCTCGAGAAAACAAAGTTGAAGCATGTAACTGACCTAACAACTTCCTATTGTCGATATGTCGATGACATGTTTTTGGAGTGTGCAACAACGAAAGTCATGCCTCCTACCTACTCAGATTATTCAACGACGCACATTCAAATATTGAATTTACTATGGAATATGAAAATGATGGAAAGTTCCATTTTCTTGACATAGCCATGCAATGCCTCGAAGATGGTGGTCTCCAGAAGTCAATATACCGAAAACCCACTTGAAAAACCAAACCTATATTTTAATAGATTTTGTTCAAATAGGTATAAACGAGCACTAGTCAAGACTCTGTACTATAGAGCGAGGAGAATATGCTGTGCAGAGAAACTAGAGGAAGAATTTACGATTCTCGAGAAGGTGTTGAAAAACAACGATTATCCTAAAAGATTCATTAACAAATATGGAAGATGCGAAAGCTCAAATACCAAACAAATCACAGTTGGAAAAAAGCCTGTCTTCATTCAACTGGATTTTAAATGTGAAGACATTGCAGAAATGGTCAACAGAAGATTGAGGACGTCACTAGCCAGAGCCTATCCTGCAGCTAAGTTCGTTCCCATCCATCGAACAACTTGCTCTTTGGTGCAGTCAAAAATCGATAGATACCCTTCTCATGTCAACTCCAACTGTGTATACAAATTTACGTGTATCTGTGGGAGCAGTTACATTGTGGGAACAGAAAGAGGGGCACACCTTCGATTTTCTGAACATGTGCCGAAAAGCCTACGTCTAAAGGGGACAAACTCTTATAGCAGCGCTATTACCTGACAAATAAGACTATATACTTATGCTTCTACATTCACAGCATAAATTGGATAAAGTCAACTATTGTATAAACTCCTTACTATAGTACTTTGATACTGTCTGTGGCAATATCTTGGTAACTGTTTGTTAAGTGTGTCACCATTCTTGTAAATATTGCTGTCACTCCTAATATTCTTGTAGTTTATGTATGTTATCCAAATACTAAGTAATCATTCCGACAAACTAATAGACTGAGTCTGTTTTTAGGCTAATTGTATGTTTATTGCCATTAATTATATTGGATCGAATTACTGTGTTTATGTTGACATATCAGCCCTCAGTAGGAACGTTTCGATGATGATTAAGGATTGACGTGAAATTATTTTGGCTGGGAGTGACTAGCAGCTGGACCTAGGATGCACATTTCGTTCTATTCGTAACTTGTCAGATCGATGTGTCTGGGTTCCCACTGAGTGATGGAGGCTTTCCCACCAAGATTCCAACCATGTTCCCATCGTTCGAAATGTCAAAGCATTATCCACTATGCCACGAGGTGCTGTCTGAACATTACTCACTGGGAATTTAGGTATATCTAGCTGAACGGTCCCGAACAGGAAGAAATGAGCATCCTGGATTCATCTGCTAGTCACCACCAACAGACTGTTTGACTGTGAATGATTATCACTGAGACATAATATATGTCAGACTAAACTAAGTAGGGGGATACAGTAATTGTTAATCTGAAATACTTATACTTATGAATTAGCTGTCGCTGAACAATAAGCAGATTTCCAGACGGGTATAATCTATGTTCATGGTTCAAATTCTGGAATATTTTAGGACGCTTTTGAATCCAGTAGTCACTTTGATAGTAATACGATACTTTATCAAACAAGACTTTGTATGCAGCTACTTAAGTAGGCAGATTCTGTAAAGACATTTGTTTGAATTTAAAGAAACTGATTTCTTAGCCTTTTACTACTTAGAAAATAGAGTAGATGAACACATGGGTATATAAATTGGTCATTTTCTTGTTAGGCTAGAATTTTCATAGTATTGAGATTTTAATAAATGGGGAAATTAGCATAACTTTCATATAACGCCTACTGAATTCCTGAACTCCACCATGGAAGGTGAAATCTTATTATTATTGCTCCCTTGGGTTCCTAGTGGAACATAGGGCTTCAACTACACGTCTCCACTTGTTTCTGCCTTCTGCTGCTATACTTTTCACCTGCATCCATGTTAGTCCATACTATTTCAGATCCTCTTCACACGATCTCCTCCATGTCACCCTTGCACTGACGTCCCACTCACCGCTTCCCTTTCGGCTTGGTTCCACTCGAGTGATGGCCTGACGCGCGCGCGATGTCACCCAGCGGCCTCCTCAGCGAGTGTCCATCTCTATCCATCTCCACTTTCTCCTGCATATTTGTTGCTTGGCGATTGGTTCTTGTTTTGTTTGTTAGTGCCCACAGTTTCTTGTTGGCGATTCTTTCCGGCCCGGCCATCTGATTGATCTTCAATATAGAGCGAAGACAGTTGTTGGTTGATGAAGGTCGGCAACAGCCTGTTGGAAATATTCTTTGTGACCCGACCCCCGCCAAATTTCTGATCCCTTCCGTATAGAAGAACTGACTGACTTGACGCTGTTTGTATTGAAAATCCGACTGAATTTTGTTGTTGATGCTGGCTGAGTGACGAAGATTTCCAGATTGGTTTCAGATTGATGAATGTGTTTCTCGCCTTCCCGATTCTCGCTCGATTTGACATCCTCGTCCGTTCCGACTGGCTGTAGTTGAGACAATGCTCAATGCTAGATAGGTGAGTGAATGAAGTAACCTCTTTCAAATCCCTCCCGTTGATGGTGATTGGCGGTGGATGTTGCTGTTGTCGTTGTTGTTGTTGGTCGGTTGGTTATTTTCATAACCTCCGTCTTGTCAATGTCCTCCTGGAGTCCTGTCTTCGCCAGCTGCTTCTTCAACCAGTTTGTCGGTTTTCGCTTGTAAGTCTTCGATTTTGTGTGTGTGTGTGTGTGACATCAAACATAAATCATCCACGCGCGAAATCCAGGTCTTCTAGGGTCTTCGCGTCGGTCGGTCCAGGATATTCTTGTCTCCTCGTTTCCCACTCACTGTCTGACGCATAATCCAGTCAGTCCACCACAATTAGGAATATCATTCATTGGTGATAATAAGCACCCTTGTCTGATTCCTGTATTTACTCCAAACGCCGCCTGGCTGAGTTTTCCGTTGTTGATCACTTGACATGTGCCGCCGTTGTTGTACAGCTGTTGAATAAGGTTGATGAATATTTGATGTACGCCATAGTACTCGTGTAGTTTCTAAATCCCTTCGCGGTCATCGCTGTCTGTTGAAGGCCTTCTGAAAGTCTACAAAGTTGAGGTAGAGGTCTGATTGCTATTCCATGCTTTGTTCTGTGGTGATGATGCGTAGAGTTGGCATTTGGTCAGTACATGATTTGCCTTTCCTGAATCCAGCTTGTTCTGGTCGGAGTTCTGTCTCCAGTGCGTCCTTTATTTTCTCCTGAATGATGCGACTCAGGATTTTACTTGACGTCGACAGGAGCATGATTCCTCGCCAGTTCTTGCAGAGTCCTAAACTGTGAGAATATGCGAAAATATTATCCCGTTGAAACACAGCGTCTGTATCACACTACCACAATGTGATTACAACTTAACGACATTTAATACAAGGACTGCTGCTTATTTAATTTGTAACCTTCTCACAGAAGACAATGTAATTACTGAATAT